TTTAACATTGGCACTAGGGTAAAGCAGGGTTATTGTGCCTTTAACAGCTGTGTGGAAGGCAGACATTCAACAAGATTCAGATTTTCAAGCATGGACATTCAGTTATGGAGAAAGCTTCATTTGTTTGCATTCTGCCTATCAACCATTTTATAATGTTTGTGGCTACTGTTTCATTTCTGGACCCTCCACTCCACCTGCAAAATATGACACAAAACATGCAAATTTTGTGCCAATCTGTATCTTCTTTTGCAAGTGGGCCAGCAGCACCCCCCTATCCACATACAGAAAATTCTGTTTGCAGGTTTGATTGTGGTTACCACCAATGCTTCTTCTTTCTTTCTTAAAAATGTTTAGGGGTGCTCTCATTTTGACTCAAGAAAATCACCATTTTATAGTTCAAATCGGGAAAAATAAATATAGTAAATGGACAAAAGTACAAAGATTCACAAAATGTTTAGGGGTATGCGTAACCCTGCGCCCCCCCTGAAAGAAAGCACTGGTTACCACTACAACGACTGCTACTACTTGTTATGGAACCACCTCCCTCCCAACTCGAGTGCTCCGCCTTGATGCTGCCAAATCCTCAATGCAGCAAAACATTTAAGTGTTTGCTTCATAGTATCACTATATGAGAGTATAGTATAACTCTTTCTAGGCTTTGGGGGATTAGAACATCTGAGTGGAGGTAAGGATTGCAAATTGATTGTCAGTTTATAAGGATTAGCTGCAGTGAACATCTTCAATTCCCAAAACAAGCGAGCAAATAGATCAAAACCAGTTAATAAAACTGTAGAGTCCTTCTGTCCAGCATATTAAAAGAGATCCCCACTTTTTAAAATACACACACACACACACACACACACACACACGTATTTGTGTCTGCCAGGTGCTGCTGGAACAGGACTGGGCTCTGAAGGAAGGATGAGGGAAAAGAATAAAATTCTTCCCAATTATTGGCATAGAGTCTGTCCCTAAAATTTCACACACACACATCACATCTGCCAGAAATGATATGCTCAAAGAGACACATATAAATAAAACAAAATGAATGACTAAATAAATAAAGGACCTTAAAGTATCTTTAAAGAATGCTTGATGTGAAACAAGACAACCCCCCCTTGGGGAAATGTAATTGGGAGAGGCCTGAAGCAGCCTCAAGGGGGGGGGGCTCATTGCTATCCCTGGTGTCCTGACGAGATCACATTGGACAGAGATACTGAGCAGGTGGGGGTGGAGGCACATAGGAGGGATGGATATGTTTCCTTGCTTTCATTCTCTATGTGTAGTGACCTTCCTGTCAATGCTAGTTATCCTTGCAGTTGTGGACTCAGGGAAAAACCCAGAGTAGAGAAACTTTCCACAGTATAAACAACAGAAGCAGAGAGGAGGGGCAAGAGGCAAGAAAACAACCTAATGGACTGGTGCTCCACTGCTCATTGGAAATCAAGTCAACACAGGAAGATGAGTGTGGTGGGATGTGTTGGAGAGGGGGGCGGAAATCACACCCACTCCCCAGCCTGGTGGAGAGAAAAGGCAATCGAAAGCAATTACATGGACCCTCATAGTTTCCACAGGGGGTGCCAGATGAATAGTGCGCTGATCAGAAGGGACTGGCTTCATCAGGACAACAAGGAGCCCCAAACAATGGTTGCCCACAAAAAGAGAAAGGAAGAGTGAGATGAAAGAATCTGAGCTGATACAAACAAGGGAGCCCGTGGAGCCCAGCGAAACAAACAACTGACATTGTCTGTTCAGCAGGCTGGAATAACAACATTTGATACCCAAGACGCACTCAGTGCACTTTAACTATTGTGCCACAAAGAAGCTGCAACAAGAAAAGAGAGAAGGATGCTATTGCAATTCAGGAAGCTCAATGCCATTCAAAGCCAATAAAATCCAGCAAATTGGGGCTATTTTGTAGTTTTCCTAAACAATTGCAAACCATTCCTTTTGCTATCTGAAAACATATAGTGAAAACACATGAAAAGGTCAACCACTCATGTGATTATTTATTATGTGTGGCTCATCGCTGTGGGTTAAACCACAGAGCCTAGGACTTGCCGATCAGAAGGTCGGCGGTTCGAATCCCTACGACGGGGTGAGCTCCCGTTGATCGGTCTCTGCTCCTGTTCGAAAGCACGTCAAAGTGCAAGTAGATAAATAGGTACCACTCCAGCGGGAAGGTAAACGGCGTTTCCGTGTGCTGCTGTGGTTCACCAGAAGCGGCTTAATCATGCTGGCCACATGACCTGGAAGCTGTACGCTGGCTCCCTTGGCCAATAAAGCGAGATGAGCGCCGCAACCCCAGAGTCGGTCATGACTGGACCTTATGGTCAGGGGTCCCTTTACCTTTTAATGTTGTAACCTGCCATGGGACCTTAGGATGAAGGGTAGGCAATAAATAAACTTAAAGTTGATGATTAATGCGTTGAGCCCACATTTGGATCCTGCACACAGTTACTTAATCAATCAATTAATCAATCAATCCATTTATTAAACCAATTATAAAGTTTCAAGATTTCAAGAAATAAAACTTTCAGCACTGCAAATTGCATGACAGCCATACCATCAACATTAACTGAGGTGCTGGAACACCAAAGTTACACGAACATTTGCAAAACAGGATTTCACAGGTAATGTTGGAGAGTATCATTATGAGGATTCAATGGAGGTGTACACAGAGCGTACACTGACCACTGCCAACAAAAATGACACCTGAGGGATGCTATCTTGAGAACAAAAACTGAATGAACCTTTACACACAGTGATTGTGTGTAGGTGTGATACACAAACACACATACAGACATACATGGAAGAGAGGTGTACAGAGAGATAGATAGCTCTTGCATATAATCTGTGTCACTAACCATTCTGTCCATTTGACTGTTTTCCTCTGCAAAGCTGACTGCAGTGGAGTGACACAAAGTCTGTTTGACGTGAAGGGAACAAATTATTCACAACCTCCCTGCAAATTGTTAAGCCATGTGGCAGCGCATATAAAATGAGAGAGAAAAGAGGAAAACTCAATCCTCTGCCTGGCAAAGCGATCAGGGGGAAAGCACTAACTGGAAAAGATGAAAGATTAAAAATGTCACCAGGAGAACATCGCTGTGAACACTCATCCATGTTACAATCCAAGGAGTTACCTGACACATGGACTCAAACTTGCAAAATGAAAGTGCCTCAGAAGGGTAAACCTGTCACTTTAGCAAGCATTGGTTTTATACCCAAATTTGTTTACCGATGAAACAGAGTACTCTCCTGTTGTAGACACATGAGCCAGCAGCAGCAATATAAACCTATTAAAAGTCTCCAACCTCATGAAGTAGTGAGTACTCCCCCTATTACTTCTGTAAGCTATTAGAAAAACCCAAAATCTTTTAGTTTTTTAAAAAAATTAATTTGGTGAGTACTTGCAATGGAAAAAGATAGTACTTGTGCCTACACAGTAGCTTCCACATGACACAATAAATATGTTGGCTTTGTGACTGATGTGACACAAATGCCTTAAAGTGGTTTTCCCCACTCCATGCTAGTTTCATACTTAGATAGCAAACGTAACCGAATGCTCCTCCATACAAAATATTTTCTTCACACAGAGAATTAAACACTGGGAGAAAAAGTTCTAGCCTAGCTATTTCCCTGATATGCTAGTTTTCTATATGAAGACATTGTTTTTTCTGTGAAGGAACAGCCAGTCATGTGAGTTCCTACCCACAACATGCAGTCCAAAGTGGTACAGACGAGACAAAGGCTTACTTCTTCAATAAAGATTAGGCTGTAGTGCCAATGCTTCAATAAACTTAGAGGAGAAATCACAAAAGAACTCCTGTTTATTATTACATGTTGTTACAATTACATCCCATATTTCATGCAAGGAATGAAATACTGTATAGCATACACTGTTCTCCCCTCCATCCATTTTCTACTCACAACAACACTGTAAAAGTTAGGCTGAGGGAGGAAGTAAGACAAGGTCACCCAGTGAACTTCATGACTGTATAAGGATTTGAACTTGGCTCTACTCTTTCCTAATCTAATACTTTAACCACTATGCTACACTACACCAACAAGTGTATTATGGTTCCTTGAAGATTTTAATAAATATTGTTGCTGGGTCATAGCCAAGGTCCATTTAGCTCACATCCTTTGACTATGGTGATCCAGATTATGTGAGGATGGAGGGGATCAAAAGCAAAACACAATGGTAATATTCATATACTGTTCTTAAATCTTTCATAATTTCTGGAGATCTGAGCTCTTGACTACCAGGGCCAAAGGAAACCAAGAGAGCTGAAGCTAAAAGAGTGGTTTAGCCAACGTTTAAAAAAGCAATTTATGCTAGTTGCCATCACAGCATTCTGTAGCAATAAATGTCATAAAATAATCATTTGAGCATTTTGTGGAGTGATTCATCTTTTAATTTTTCATAAGCCTACAGTCTGTCAGTTTCAGGCAAGGAATACGGTTTGGAACTTGAATGTTATATGGACTTTTCCCTTGCACATTTTCTCCATATCAGTCATCTATCTATCTATATTTATAAAAGACAGTTCCTAACATTCTGCCCCACCCTCTTAATTGTCCATTATACTGTAGTATGACCAAAAAAGGATGAAAAAAGATCTCAGGATGGGGCTATACCATTCAAGCATCCCATGACAGCTGGTGGGAGTAATCAGGGACAGAGGAAGGTGCCTCATTCCAGGTGACACTATTTGTCCAAGTAGACCAGTATTGTCAACTACTGCCAGTCACTCTCCAAGGTTTCAGGCAGCTGTGTTTCCTATCACCTACTACTACCTGAACTTTTAACTGGAGATTCCAGGGATTGAATCTGGGATGTTATGCCTCCAAAATATGTTCTCTACCACTGAGTTATGACGTCCAGCCTAAGCAACAGGCTTAAGCTGTTGGAAGATCATAGAATCAAATAACTGTTGAGTTGGAAGGGACCATGTGAGTTATCTAGTCCAACCCCCTGCAATGCAGGAATCTCTTGCCCAGCATGGGGCTCGAACCCACAATGAGGTGATTAAGAGTCTCAAACTCTACTGACTGAGCTATCCAGACTCCCAATATGTTCAATATGTCTCACAATGTTCCCTGTATAATTCCCCAAGAGGTACGTTTTTGAAATACCATATTTTTCTGTCTATAAGACGCCCCCATGTATAAGACACCCCCTATTTTGGGCGACTCAGATTTAAGAAAAGGGGGGAGTCACTATCTGTGTATAGGACACCCCATAATTTTTGACATTATTTTAAAGGGGAAAAACCTAGTCTTATACATGGAAAAATACGGTACATCCTTCTTTTTTCCTTTTTAAGCAGTATTGAGAAAGGCTTTAAACAAGTATATGATAATAATATGTATATCGTTTCAATTCTATTAATGTTTAATTGTTTTTAATGATTTTTTTTGTTTTTGTTTTTAGTGATTCTTGGTTTTATCTGGAAGATACCTTGAGTGCCATCAAGGGAAAAAGCACGATATAAATAAATAAAAAATAAAAAATAAAAAATAAAATAAAATAAAATGAATCTGATAGGGTTAACTATGTAATATATACAGTGCCTTTGCTCTAGCAGCTCAAATGATGAGATTAAAATGCATCACACAAAATGAGATTTAGTGTACTAGGGATCAAATGCATCTCTTAACTTGATTGTAGTTTTGTGATGGTTAATGATTTTTAGGAAATAAACTTAACTAACTGAACCCATCTCATTGATTACATCCACTTACTTGCTTCATTTATTCATATAAACAAATAGCTTCATTAACTCCTACCTCCAATTCTAGATGCCTCATTGACAAGGTCCTAATCAGATATGTCTAAGTGTGTATGTGCACATGTGCAAAGTTTTCTACACACACAGCATAGTTCAGTGGTTAAGAGTATTGAACTGGGAAGTCACTATTTGAATCCGTATAAAGTCCCATGGACCTGGGGCCTGTCATTGTCTCTCAGCCTAACCTACCTCAGAAGGTTTTTGGGAAGACAAAATGGAGGGGAGAGAACTGTGTGCCGTGAGCTCCTTGGAGGAAAGGTAGAGTAGAAATACAAGAACAAGAACAAGAACAAGAACAAGAACAACAACAACAACAACATCGTTTTATTAAAGTATTTGGAATGACATCTAACTCAAGAGCTGGTCCTGGGATAACCACTCTCTATTTTATATACCCAGTAACAAAACGAAACAAGAATTTCAAGCAAACCATACTGCCCCAACAAATTGTATTTTCTCAGCATCAGCTACTGCTGGGCACCTTAGCTTACTGGGGAAAGGAAACTTAAGTCAGAGAAGAGTGAAGCCCAAGTATTTTTCCCATCCTGAAAGCCCCACTCATTTTGCTTTTTCCCCTTGAGAAAGATTTAGATCAAGTGGCCTTCCATATGCTTTAGCATGGATGCTTTAGCTGAAATTCCTGCATTGCAGGACCAGAAGGCACTTTGGGTTCTTCCCAACTATACAATTCTATGATTCTATGCTGCTGGACTCCCAACCGCCATCAGAAGGTGGAGGAACTATGAGAACTATAGTTGAACAACACCTGAGCCACAGATTTCCTATCTGTGATTTAGCTATCACCCTGCTTATTTTAGTTGTTCTTCTTTTTCTTCCCTTCTTTCCTTCTGTTACGCCTATTTTAATGGCAGGGAGCAAAACTGTCAGGACTGTTCTAAATGAGCATGGTAAGATAGCCGCATGCAGAGCTTCCAAAAGCATTCAGCATATAAACACTGCTTTAAATAGTTAAATGCTACAATTTTAAAGTACTTTTAAAACCTAGTGTGAGGTCATTCTAGGATGCCTAGATTCATTTCTGTTTTGCCACAGTCTTAACGTGTGACCTTTCAATTCAATCAGAGGTAGATATTTTGAAACTACAAAGGGCCCTTGGGCATCTGATTTTCATGAAAATTTGCTGGAGCTATGGGACTATACATGCCCTTTTAACCTTTGAAAAATCTTTCTCTTAATCTTGCTGCCCTTTATTTCCCTGGCTATAAAAGGGGGATATGGGATTTACCTCATCTTTCCCACTGGAGAATATAAAGGCAGGCACGTTAAGTGTGAGTGTGTGGCTTTCATACACACTAAAATAACAAGATACAGAGAATATAACAGAGAACAGTATTATGGTGATAGAAGGTATCTCAAAGGCCATCTAGTCCAATTCCCACCCCTGGGCAGAAAAATCTATTGACCTTTCTGTTTTACAAACATGACAGATGCAAAAAAAGGATGCAACAGCCCGATATTGCCACTTCAAGGCAATCCAAGCACCTCAGGGATGGAACTGCTTTCCTTCATTTTTCCAGTTAAGGATAAGGGAGAGGGGCAGGGCTTTGGAAAAGGTCGGGCAACAGCAGGCTGGATGGGTAGGCTTTGTGGTGCCAGCAGTTCCTTGCTCTTAATATGTACCCCTTTCCCACTGAACAAATGGTCAGTCAAAAATACAAATAAAGATTGACCTAGAATGCAAGAATACTTACTAGAAGAAGCTTGAACAACATTAACAATGTTTTGAGTGTTGCAGCAATCGCTGATACAATGGCATTCTTGTGTTCATAACTGAGCATCTCTCCAAGTGTATTTGATGTCTTTTCATAAAAACAGCATAGCATATTTAATGGTTCAGAAGGGTTTCTCTGAAGTTTCATTTCTGAAAGATGAACCGAAGTCTGGATGCCGCAAAACAAGGGAGTCAGTCGTATGCTTGAATTTAAACACATGTGAGGATTTGTAAGACTAGTTTAATTATTAACAATGTGCTGAGATGCTCCACAAAGAGAGTGCATATTCTGCATGTCAGAACAGAGATTAAGATTTTAATTAGCTAATATGTTTTTCAATAAAGAGAAATCAAAAGCTGTTCAAAATCTATGCTTTAAACAAAAAGCATATGTTCTTAACAAAGGCGCACACAGCTTTCAGAACAATTTCTGATTTGCATTTCCATTATATCAGTCCACAGCTCCATGCATATACTACTATACTTTGACATACCCTTCCGCATACTTCTCTTCAAACTGATCGGCCCCACTAAATGTCTCTGAAAAGGGAGTGTCATAGATTGAGTCCCAAGACAGATACATTAGCTGCAGCTCCCGTTTCATGCTGCTGGACTCCAGCTCTCATCAGTTCAAACCACAATAGTCAATAGTCAGGGATGCTAGTCTAGCAAGCTCTGTGGGTCAAATGTCCACCACCCCTGCAAGTAGACCTTTTCACAAGTTAAATGAAGAAAGAGTGTTCACACATTTGTCCCTGCTCCTGGACTCCATGCATTCAGCTGAAGGTCTGAATAAAGAGTGTGTTAAGTATAATTGTTTAATTGCACACTGAAGTAGAGAATGCCTATATGTATATTGCTGAAGGTTTTAACATTGAAAAATTCCACTGCAGTATACTAAGCAAGAAAAAGCTCTCAAAGCTTCTAACTGAGTTGATAATTAACTGTTGATAGTCTCTGCTAGCACTCACATGGTGTTTAGATCATGTGAGGGTATTCAATTGCAAATCTTCATTTTGAAAATGAGTTGCCTTTATCTTTTGTTCCTGGACACAGTGGGAGAAGGGTGTGAAAATGAGCCTCTCTAGGAGCTGCAAAGCCTTAAGATGGATGCAGGGTAATGAAAGCTATGGGGGAGACTGAGTTATTATTTTATATATTTAAGAAGAAGAACCTATGCCCAAATGTGCATATGCTTTATACAACTTTCTGGATGTACCATTGATGTTTTTGTACCTGTTTTGAAGAAGCTCTGGTTAGTAAAGCTTTGACTATGGGTCTGGACTATTTTTATTCAAAAAGGAGTCAGCTTTTATGTAACCAATACTTCATGCTGCACAATATCTGCAATACTGTGTGCTTGTACTGGCAGAGCAACTGAACACGATCTCATTTCCCCCTCCATGTATTCACTGAACACAGATATATCATGTGACTAGGGCTAGTGAATCAGGCTGCTCAGGGGAAGGTGAGGCAAGGCAGAAAGGTCAATCGGATGAGCCGAAAAGCCGATGATCAGAGAGGTGAGAGGCAAGAAAACAGGTAGGCAAAGAAGTGAATGAAAGCAGTTTGATTATAGCTTGATCTTTATCCCAGAAGACATGTTCCTCAGGCTGAGTCTGATCCTTCTGAGATAGTATTTGCAGCCTTGCCTCCTGGCCATCTGCAATGATGGTGGCTAAGCACAGCAGACAGCAGGCCAACAGCTCCCTCTTCTGACAAGCTGACATCATGGTGCAAAGAGTAATTCATTTGTCTTATTAATTTAAATAGATTTTATATCCTACCTTTCTTCCATCATGGAACTCAAGATACAGTACATGGACCTCCCAGGCAGTCTGCCACAAGCACTGACCAGCACCAGATCTGCTTAGCTTCTGCAAAGCAGCTGTATCATATGCCATCCGATCACATTCTGGGACTTGGCTCTGGCAGCCAGAGTGTACATATCAAAACTCCTGCAACCTTACAATCAAATAGGGCAACCAGAAATTTTGTCGAGTCCACAAGGGATTGCTGTTGTTGCCAATCCATTTATATGGAGAGGGATCTGAACTCTTGGAGATAAATTTAAAACATAAATGTAGAAAGCCCCCTCTATGCCTGTTTTCAGTATTTTCTTCCAACATATTCCTCTTACAATGCTTTCCTCTTTTACTAATTGAACTATTAACCTTTTATATGCTTGAAAATTCTAAGGAAGAAAAGAGGGGCAGTGAAATAAAGCACTCCCAAGATTGCTATTATGAAGAGGAAGCATGAAAGAGGTTTGCAAAATGAAAAGGGAGAAAACATACTTGAGACACTTTGACAATTTTCAAATGGTCTGGCCTGTTAGATTTCGGTTGCTTCCTATGGAAGTGGCGGCATAGTCATTATTTACTCCAAGGTCCTCATTATCCAGAAAAATGCTGATCTAGAAGGTCAGCAACAACCCAGACAGTTTCCTCCTGTCACCTGTAGCATTCTGATCTCCATCCTTCACTAGGACTCTCATACTTTCCACATGTTTACAGGGGGTGCTAAAGTGACAAGTAGGGTCA